TCAAATCTTGGATTTGTCGGACTGGTTCCGACAGTATGAGTGTCTCGTCTAGAGACAGTATTTGGATGTATTTGGGGCAGTATGTTGACATTTGCTTACTGTTTTTTTTCAACATGATGTTGAAAAAAATACTAGTATTTTATGGGTACATCCAAATTTGGTGGGAAATATGGCAGTATTTGTGGCCAGATTTGGGTAATTGATCACGACTCCCAATTTACTCCACTTCGGGCTGAAATTCCTCTTTTGGAGACTGTCAGAGGATGTCCGAACCCGGTGTTGTCAAAGGAATTCTAACAACCCTTCACAATCAAAAACATTCAAAAACCAAAATACGCAATTGAACAAAAAAACGTCCGTTACGGGTAAAACCCATAATGGGCAAAAAAATTGCCCATACGGTTTTCCAGGTACATATATCCCCAATTAGATCATGTCGATGAGACGAGTTCAGCCATTCCAACAGCCCCAGCAGGTGCTCCTGGAGGCAGGGCCCCAGGATCTCCCCTGGCCCAGTGACGAGAAGTGTCGGGAGAAGGGCATGGCCGTTTGCGCGCTGCGCCTGGGCGAAAATTTGGAGAGATCTTCTGGGGAGACTGGATGGAGAGATGAACCTTTCTATTGGGAATTTGTGGAAGTTTCATGGGGATTTATGGACATCCTATGAGATTTTATGGGATAAGAACAGATGATTTACTCATCAAATGCGTGAAGGGAAACAAGAAAGATGTGGAGGGAAGAAACATCATCAAACATAGGGATTTTCAATGACCATCAGAAATTGGGATTTTTCATCCCACAAATACAAACGCTAGCGTGAAGTCGTATCAACTCGTAAAAGTTGTATCGGGAGGTCGTGCGCCTGGAAAAAGTTCAAGTTTGGCATCACCATAACTTTTAGTGATTGAGTGATTTCATTGTTTTGGGGCCGTGCGCCTGGGAAAAAAACAATTTTTGTATTGAATTGAATTTTGAAGCTTATATTTGATCATTCTTTCAAGGGGGCAAACGCTGGTTGCTGCTTGCTTGCTGCTTGCTTGCTGCTTGCCTGCTCCTTTCTGCTCCTTGCTCCTCCTTGCTGCTCCTTGCTGCTTGCTGATCGTATCATTAAATATCTTTAGATTCACATGATCTGGGAAAGGCCGAAGGGAAGGCTGTGGGGCAGTGGGCGAGTTGCGGCACACCGAGGGTCTCCATCGACAACTTTTCAAGGCCCATCGCGCTGCATGCGAACTGGGATGGTGCCTCGGCTGTCATGGTTAACCATCTCTGGGGATCTATTCAAAGGGGTGCTAATCAGAGTCCCTGTTGCTAAATTAATCTATATTATTTAAGTTTAATTTATGTTTTATTACGATATGTTAAAATTGGTGGAATTGGGCCAAAAAATATATGAACACATATTTTTTCTGAACAAAAATCTGTGTTGTGGGGTGTGGGACGAGGCGGTTGAGTAGAAGGGTACCCTGTCCCCGTCTAAAAGTAGTATTGGAGGTTGAGAACAGTTTGGCGGCAGTGAGAGCCTTGACGACCCATCAAGACGCAAGAGGGGAACATTAAAGTCAAAAAAGATGGGCCGTTGTGTAAAGCCTCAAATTTACCGTAGGAAAATACATTATGGTTCCCTATCCAATAGGGCGAATGCGCCTTACATCCCATCCCATCCAATTCCTTCATTCCCATCCCCGTCCCTTTGCAATGAGGTATTTGGCGGGGTTCGCGCTTCTTGCCTCCCACAGAACGTTGCTTCGTGGTCTTCCAAATGGGCGAGGACTACAAAGATGACGAAAAGTCTGCGAGGGGTGCAAAGATGGGTATAGAATTGGCTCGATGGCATCATATTATATTAATATCTATATCTGTGTAATTCTGTGTACATACATTTACCTATATCTATATATCTATCTATTTGATACATTGTATCCTATTACGTTTAATGTATGTGAAGATACCCATATCCATTTTTTCCTGCCATGGGAAGGGATCAAACATCAACATCGAATCGTATCGGCGGAACCCCCAACAGCTCCAGCAACAGGAACTGATCACCGTACATCAGGGTCTACCCGTGCGGAGCCTTCAAAGGCCAGGGGAGGTTGGTATCTGTGGTGGGTCATTTCAGGGCCACATACCCTGGCTATCCGCCAGCAATTGGTGACTAGTATTGTTGCGGATCCTCTTCATTTAAAGTTGTTTCGAAAAACTGTTGCAGTACAAGTTGCAGAATCCAACATGTCCCTTCCCATCCCTTCCCCAAAAAGATCGGATCAATGATGATTTGATGATCCCCAAAGACCCTAATATCATCATATCGGCCTGGAACCCAATCCCAGGTTTCAGCTTGGTTACATCGACATGGTCAACAAATGCGGATCCGTATCATATAAATACAACTTTTGACCAACTAAGCACAGAATAAGGTTTGGTTTTGCCATTGTTTTGCCCCCCCTCGAAACCTTTGTATACAAGGGAAACTCCCGACTTTCACCAAACATTTCACAACGGTGAAGTATGATGAAATTCATCCGAAATGCCAGATTAAGCCTTTTTAAAGTGCTCTGCAGGATCCAAATCGGAAACTAAATAGATTCAAATGATTCAAAGACAATTTTCACTGGGAAAAAAGTCAGCGACTCTCATGTCAGTGAATTTTAGTGACTACATGGTCTGCTGGTTATGCCCTTGGCCAATATAGTCTACTGTTTATGATAAGCAGCTGTTGAAAACCATGAGTATACCGTATAAGAATTGTATTATATACGGCATACGTATATATATATATATATAATAAATAAATATATATATATTTAATATATATATATATACATCCCATTGTACCAACACTGTATACCCATCATATCCCCATTATCTCTCCATAGTCCCAGTGGAAAAAGCCATGCCTCTGAGAAAACATAGCCCTGGGCGCTGTTGGCAAACCAGGCCCATGGCCATGCCCTTATGGCGCCAAAGCCCTCAAGTTGGAGCTGCCGTGGGAAGCTGCACTGAAGTCAACGTGCTGCGGATTGGGGCGTTGGCGGAGGTCACTGGTCAAAAACCGGGGAGAACCCATGGGATATTAGTGGGATATAACCAACAGCACTAGTATTGATATCTATACATGGGTATAATGGGTTTTATAGCTAAGTTGATATGATATTAATTTGGGTTTGTCGAAGAGCGTCGGGAAACGACTACATTGACTACATCAACTGGTTCATCATCATGTTTATTGTAACCAAAATGGGGATCTCGACCATTCATGATATAATGGATATATACCCTTTGGTAAAGCAAGTAAAGCAAGATAGATGCGGAGTGCTATAGGAGAATCCATGGTTTCCCCGGACATGATCTAGAAAGGATGGATCTGAATTTGTTGGTTTACTGGAGGCAAACTGGGCCCCCAGTTTGTCGCAATGCTTAAAATTGGGGAAAATGATGGTCAATAATGGGTTTTTTACGGCTGCACAATTTGAGACTATCTACCATCTGGTTATTTAACATAGCCATGGAAAATGGCCCATTTATAGATGGTTTACCTATGAAAAATGGTGATTTTCCATGGCTATGTCAAATAACCAGAGGGTAATATATTATGGCTGTGTCCACATCGAAGATCCCTACATCGTCAGCTTTCGGTTTTAGCGGATCAAGAAATGGGTTGATCCCAAGTGATTCTTTTGTTTGGGGTTGGGTTTAAACCCACCGAATGGCCCATTCAGCTGCTGTTTCAAGTTGTGAAGTTGTGATCCAAAATCCACCTTCATCGCAAGGGCATCCAAGAGGTGGGGTTTGTGCCTCCTGATATACCGCAGCCCCCATCCTGTTTGCCTTATTGGTACCCTCCGGTGAATTAATATAGCTTTGGAGCATCAACTTGTTTTTATGTAATATCCAAATCATCGAACTCAATGGGCCATCTATACCAGTTCCCAAGCTGTTAAATGTCTGGAGGGTAGGTAGCTCGGAAAAAAACTCGGGCTCACTAGGGCTGCTGGGGGATATATCTATATATAGTTAACATCAGTTGAAACCGTTATAGACATCAATTAGCTATTTACAGGTAACTATATTTAGAGTTGATGGTATATAAAGTAATATATATATAGCTGAAGTTGATAGACATATATTCATATTATCATATAGCTCAATACTGGAAAGAATATGGTAGCCTGTTGTCAAACCCAAAATATCTATAATATATACACCCATATAGTTTTTTTTGGCAATAAACCCATCTATAGCAAATAACCCATCTATAGCAAATAACCCATATCTATATCTACATCTATCTCGCTATCTCTATATATATAATATGTATGTATGTATATATATATATATATATCTGGGTAAATTATAATATTTCACTAACCTGAATTAAGGCCATTTGGGGATGATTTCCCTTACTAACCATGATTTCCAGTGAGGTCGCAGTGAGGTCGTTATAGTATTTCAATCCAGGTCCACTCCCATCATTTCAGGCTTTCTGCAATGGCACGGAGCCAGCGTGCCGCGGTGCGCGGGTGAAGTGCACCGCAGCGCAGGCGTCTTTTGCGCAGCGCGGCAAAGTGAGCGAGGCCCATCCCAGGCGTGGCGGGCTGGAAGGTTTGGAAAAGGGGCATGATGGTTATTGATGGTTAATGATGAATGACATGAAGTATAGTATCCTCATTATATCTCCATTATATCTCCATTATATCTCCATTAATCCCCATTTTTGTGATCTTTTGTTGATGATGTTTACCCTCTGGCAAACGTTTACGTAACTATGGAAAGACCCACCATTTTTAATGGGTAAATCCACTATTTCTATGGCCATTTTCAATAGCTATGTTAGTTTACCAGAGGGTAATGATGGTTAATGATGAATGATGATGATTCATGATGGTTAATGATGATGGTTAATAATTAATTAATTAGGTGGCAATTTATTATGATTAATGATGGTGAATGATGATGAATGGCAATTTATGATGGGAAAAACGGTGACTTAATGATCTTAATGATGATTAATGATGGTTAACCAATTAGGATAAGTGATGGTTAATGACTGATGATGATGAATGGTGACTCAATGATGATTAATGATGGTGAACAGTGATGAATGGTGCCTTAGTGACGCTTAATGATGGTGCATGATGATTAATGGTGATTCATGATGGTTCGTGATGATTATATAATGGTGGTGAGTGATGATGAATGGTGATTAGCCAATGCTGGTCAATGATGATGAATGGTGGTTTTTGGTGGTCCATGATGGTTAATGTTGATCAAGGTGATTGATGACCATCAACAATGGTTAATTATGATGGACTGTGATTTGTTTTGTGATGAACAATGGTGAATGATAACCAATTTCGATTAATGCTGGTGGTCAATGATGATGAATGGTGATTTATGATAATAACGGATGGGGAATGATGATTAATGGTGATGAATCGATTTCGATTAATGCTGGTCAATGATGATGAATGATGATTTATGATGATACATGATGGTGAATGACGATGAATGGTGATTAACCATTGACAGTTAAGGCTGGTCCATGATGATGAATGGCGACTTATGATGATATATGATTGTTAATGATGATGAATGACGGTTAACCAATTTCGATTAATGCTGGTGGTCAATGATGATGAATGGCGGTTTTTGATAATAAAGGTGGTGATTAACCAATGACGATTAATGCTGGTCAATAATGATGAATGGTGATTTATGATGGTTCATGTTGGTTAATGATGATGAATGGTGATTAATGCTGATCATGATGAATGTTAATGGGTGATTTAATGATGTTTATGGGTGATTTATGATGGCACATGATGGTTAGTGATTGGATGATTCATTGCGATAGATTAATGATTCACCATGTGAGTTTTCCACCCATCAACTGATTTAAAAACATGTTTTGACCCCTCAAATGCCAAACAAATAATGATTGACATAAATAGTAACGATAACCAAAACCATAGCAGTAATAACAATAATCGAAACATGTTGATGATGCTGCTGGTCATGGTCGTGGTGGTAGTTTGGGACACTTCTAAAGGGACGGTGTTTGAAGATTGGGCACCACCAGATCCCATGGTCTATCATCATTTTCTCATCAAATGATATTGAAAATGGCCATTTATAGTGGATTTCCCCCTTAAACATGGTGATTTTCCATAGTTATGTAAAGGTTTACCAGAGAGTAAATGATAATGATAATATATAAATGATTCAGGTGTTGGTATAGTGGTGAAAAATTGCTTCCTAAATTCATTGAAGGATGTTAAGCAAATAAACGGCCGAATTGCCACAGTAACGTTTGCCTCACACGGGTATGACCTGACATTTATTTGTGCCTATGCCCCACACAGCGGTTACCCCACTGATACCAAGGAAGATTTCTATGTCCAGTTATCGATAAAATGGCTCTATGTAGAGGTAATTTTTACGTAGGAGGTGATTTCAATGCTAGAATCCATCACATAAGAGAAGGGGATGCTGATGTGTGTGGGCCTTATATTATTGGGAGAGGCATGGAGTACTTGAATCACATGAACGAAAAACAAAAGAAAGCAGAGCGCTTTTCCTCGGGTGGTGCAAAAAGCACTGCTTGACAATTTTAAATAGCCAGTTCTCGAAGCCACTGGATAGATTAATCACCTACAAAGAAAAACTAAATGATTCTGATTTTGGACCGCCATTCGCTGCTGAGAGATACGCTCAAATCGATTACTGGCTGACTTACAGCGATTGGAAATCCTCGTGCACGAATGTCTAGAGCCGAAGAGACATTGCCTTTGATTCAGATCATATACTGCTAGAATCATGTGTATATATGAAGCCACCGCCACGCGCGCAGGAACCCAGAAAGGAATCGAGGTATCTCAAACCTACCCCAGAACAATGGAGTCTCTACAATCAGTCTTGTTGTCATGTTTTTTTCTGGTGGTATTTTGGGCTTGAACACTTTTGTTGAAGGAATCCTGTGCGCGGCGGAAAGTAGTTTGGAGAAGATGCCTAACGGAAAGAGAAAAAACTACATCACTAGAAACACATGGAACCAAATCGAAAAAAGAAACCAACTAAGGTCCAATGGCGCACCATCGCAAGAAGTACATAGACTCAATAAAGAAATCTCCAAGCAAGCGCGGTTAGATCGTCGAAGCCATCTCATTGACAAGTTCAATGAAAACCCAAATGACCCAAACAAAAAAGGTCTCTGGAGAGCAGTCAAAGATTTGAAACGTAAGTTCACCCCGCAATATGTCCACATGAAAAACTTGCATGGGGGTGTCCCAGTAACTGAAAGAGCACAGACTATTGCAACATACCTCGAGACAAGACATTGGAAAAACGATTCTGAAACGAGCGTGCCTGACAGTTCTTGCATTTATGAAGAAAATAGCGCAGATGAAAGCATTTTTCGATTAGAAGAACTGGACACGGCGTTCAAGGTAGCCAAAAATAATAAACAACCGGGACCTGACAAATTGCAAATGGAATTGTTAAAATGGCTAGACGCTTCTAACCGCGCCCGCCTTCTTGACCTGATTAACAACTCGTGGACAGAACGAAAAGCGCCCCAAGAATTGTTTGTCGCAAGGGTAGTGCCAATTTTCAAAAAAGGCGAAGCAGACGATGCAGCAAACTATCGTCCAATTTCATTACTGAGTAGCGTGTACAAAATGTACATGATGATGATTCGACCTAGGATGCAAAAGGCTGTTGAAGATAAAGTACAAAAACCCAATATGGTTTTCAGCCTTGCAAATCAACCTCTCACGCTATTTATATATGTGATCCGCAGAATCCAAGATTATGCTGAGTCTAAAGGGACGCGCTTAAGTCTAGCTCTACTTGATTGGGAGAAGGCTTTTGATAAAATACAACATGATAAGTTAATTCTGGCGCTTCAACGGATGGGTTTCAGTTCGCAGTTCTGTGACGTTATTGGAGATTGCTACAAGGAACCAACCTTTGTAAAAGATGACTTTGAATGTTCCGGGTTCAAAAGGCAGTCGGCTGGAATAAGGCAGGGATGCCCATTATCCCCGTATTTTTTTGCTATTGTTATGTCATGTATTGATTTTGATATACGAGCTCGGTGCAGTCGATGGGTGTCAAATGGAAGAATTCCAGGGCTTGAGTTCGACATGGTCTATTTTGCCGATGATACCATTTTGTTTTCCACCGACAACAGAGCCCGTAATGAATTATTACATCTGACGGAAGTGATTTCCAGTAAATATGTTTTGTGTTTAAACATAAACAAGTGTGTCGCAATCCCAATGAATAATGATGGCTCGGTCCATTTCGACAATCAAGAACCGCTCCCAAAAAAAATTGAAACCACTTACTTAGGAAATGAAATCAACAGAGAAGCCATTCTGGCACGAAATTTTGAACAAAATGCAAGAAGTAAGAAAGACTTGGTTCAGATTAATGCCATATTGGAAGGCGACGAATGCAAATTTGAAATGGCAATTGCTGTTTGATGCTGTGATTAAATCCAAAATTATCTATGGTTTGGAGTCTGCTTGCTCATCTCACACAAGCCATGATGAAAAAAATCGACGCCTTCCAGTTGCGTTGCCTGAGAAAAATTCTTGGGCTAGCGCCGACGTTCATAGATGGACGAAATACAAACCAGGCAGTGCTCAAGAAATGTACAGACATTGTCTTCACGCACCGGGAAGACCACCAAAAAATCAGCCTTTTCAGCGAATATTATCTTCATCGCAAGACCAAATTACTTGGGCATGTGCTTAGAGCCCCTGAGTATGACCCTTTAAGACAAGTATCTTTAGAGCCAAATTCCGGAAACAGAGTGGACTATGGTAAACGGCGTTGTGGTCGTCCCAAGCAAAACTGGTTGCATTTTGCAAAGAAAACCGCTTATGAAATGCACTTGAATGGAAGTAATTACTTGGAATGTAGAACATGATTTCCGAATCTATAATGCAGCCTTAAACCGAAAATTTTAATGTTTCTCCGTGGTTCCTTGGCTACGCCAACGCGTTGCTTCTTTTGAAGATGCTTCATTGCAAGGTATGCCTGGGAAAGAAAATATGTAAATGCTTATTTTCTAGGTATACCCCACTTATAATGGTTATTTTATGATGGTATGATTGTTTTATATACCTTTTTTTTTCTACACATGTATTATTATAGTCATCAAATACAAAAACCCCATAATAATGATGACTATATATTATGTATTACTATATAGTAAGACCCAATAATAATACTAATTGTTATACACATGTATTACTGTACTATAGTTTATGAAACCCCATGATGGTACACCCCAGCTTCAGAGCCACATCACAGTTTCGACGCTAGGTGTCCAGTTGCCTGGACCAAAGCCGCGAACATTTGATCTGGACCTGGTGAAAAGAGGCATCTCTGCAGCTGCCGACCTTACCTGGATATGTTTGGATGCAGATTTGGAAAAATCTGAAAAAATGAGGGAAATCCTGGGAATACTGAAGCCGAATAGGTAGTAACGATTTTAAATTCTAGGTTTGGGGTCGAAAACCAGTTTTTGGAACGCTGCCCTGGCGCTGCGCAGCTTTGAACAGATCAAACCCCTCTCAATTGAAACGCTAAAAATATCAAACAATAGCCTAGTTGATTGGTTATTTTAGGGACCTATACTACCTCATTTGTTGGGGATTACCATTTTTTTATGGCTCAATGAATTCTGCCAACCTCCCACCTGCCTCTCAACCATCCGCACGTCTGTGCCAAAGCGCCATGTTGGTGCTGCTATCTTCGGCGATGAGGTCATGGTTACCACCAAAAACTGGTGGTATAACCAGCAATCAATGGTTTTTTTCGGGAATGCTAGGGGTCTGTGTAAACCTTGATGAAGGGTCCTTTCATTCATACTTTAATCGTTCGGTGAATTGGAGTATTTACATGTATTTATTAAGTGTTCTTTTGCAGGGTATTTGTATAGATGGCCCGTCTATAGTTAGTAGATGGCCCATTTACCAATGATTTACCCATTAAACATGGTGATTTTCCACAGCGATGTTAAATTTCTAGAGAGCAGGTATTTTCTGGTGAAAATCACAGACCTTAGTTCAAACATTCAAACAGGGAGTGCGTCAACTACCAGCCCCTAACCCTCAATCCCCTACCAACTTTGATTCTTGACGTGCTTTGTGCTAGACAGACTAGACACTGGCTAAAAAGACGAACATGTCTCACCACTTGGAGGTTTCCTGAAATATGGGTACCCCCAAAACATCCATTTTAATTGGATTTTCCATTATAAACCACCCCCATATATCGAAAGCCCCACTTAATCACAGAGAAAAAAATGGACATGCAACACCATCATGATAGTGAAGCTGACGCTTTCGAAGAATCAACATCGGTGGTTTCCTAAGTCATGGAATTACCCCCTCAGTTCTCATCCCATTTTAAAAGATTGGATTTTCCATTGTAATAATGGGATACTATCCCCATCTTATCATTGGAACATGGGGATTTTATCACTGGAAAATGGGGATCTTATCACTGGAACATGGGGATTTTATCACTGGAAAATGGGGATTTTATCACTGGAACATGGGGATTTTATCACTGGAAAATGGGGATTTTATCACTGGAACATGGGGATTTTATCACTGGAACATGGGGATTTTATCACTGGAACATGGGGATTTTATCACATTTTATCACTGGAACATGGGGATTTTATCACTGGAAAATGGGGATTTTATCACTGGAACATGGGGATTTTATCACTGGAAAATGGGGATTTTATCACTGGAAATGGGGATTTTATCACTGGAACATGGGGATTTTATCACTGGAAAATGGGGATTTTATCACTGGAACATGGGGATTTTATCACTGGAAAATGGGGATTTTATCACTGGAACATGGGGATTTTATCACTGGAACATGGGGATTTTATCACTGGAACATGGCGATTTTATCACTGGAAAATGTGGATTTTATCACTGGAACATGGCGACGGGACGTGTGGGATGATCTCAGGTTCCACGCCAAGCCAGCCACAGAGGTGGTCAAGAGGACCGCCGTTTGTTGCTGTTGAAAGCCATTGCGACTTAGAAGGTATTGGAAGTTGAAACCCATTGTGAAATATAACATTTGAAGTCCAACAATGATATGATTAATATGATTAGTCATCATATGCTTAATGTTCATGGTTTATCCAGATTCAACATGTTGACTTTGGTTGATTCAACATGTTCCCCGCAACCCCCTGGTTCGCCCACACTCAAACAACACATCCAAACAATATGACATACTTATCACCAGAGGGTGAATGAAAACACTGGCTATACGCAGTGATTTTGACTTTAAGTTTGCAGGATTTAGGGTTTAAGTTAGGGTTTAGGGTTTTAGGTTTTAGGGTTTTGGTGTTTGTTTTGGAAAGTAAAAAACTTAAACCCTGCGCAGGGATTTGAGCATGTCAAAGGATATGCGGGATTGGCCGCGGGCAAACCTAGGGGTTGCAGCGAACATTCAAAGATGACGATACGGTTTTCTCCCTAAGAATGGGAGGATCGTCCCCCTTGATGAGCAAGATGTTCAGCACCAGAAGTCCCTCAGTTCTGTTGGTTGAATTATGTCCACATAGTCCATATGTGGAGGGCGGGCCAGACCACAAGGCCCCGGAGGTAGTATGAAACACTAGTTCCATCCGTATATCTAAATGTATGTTTGAAGAAATTGGATTTCGTATGCTTGAATGGCCGGACGGGCCAAGGAAAACCTTCCCGGAGGGAGTCTAAAATGCCATGTTCTTTATTTTAAAATCCGTATACTTAGATGCAGTTACCGTATCGCGATTTCAGAATATCCCCATAATTTGCACCGACCAGATATGGACTGGCAATGACATAACACGCACATATAATCATATACTATAACGATACGTATTGAATGTATATAGATATATATTTGCACATAATACATATACCAGCTGTGGACCCACTGTCGATATATCCATAGACCAACTATAGATATCGCAGGACCACACCGAGGCTTCTCCACAAGACGAAGGACGGGCAGGGCCACAGTGGATATCTCCGTAGTGAGTTGACGATATATGGATAATTTTCCCCAAAATCCAAGGTAGGTGATATTCCCTTGTTTTTGGCTGGTGGTTTCATCATTTTTTTTTGCGAACCCATTGATGATCCCAACTGACTAACAGTTGTCAGGGGGTCGAAACCACCATCCTCAAATAGAGCTGTATGGAAGAGGGAAACCTAGGACCTAGGCATGCTTAACTTCAGGACAGATCCTAAAATACCTGTAGGAATGACCAGTTCCTAAAATTTACCAACCCAGTTCCCTCATTTCTTTTGCTGCCTCTTCTGGGAGGAGAAACTCAAAGGTTGTTCCCCCTACTGTTTTGATCTGTTTTGTTTTCTTGAACTTGCAGTGAACACCCCAGTTTGGGTAAATCATTTGATGTTTGCTGGTGTTTTTTTTCCACTTTTCAGCCAACAGTTCCTTAATTGGGGATCATGAGCATCAAGCATAATGTTTCAGAAGTATAGTATGTATGTATATAGATATTATAAAATTTATAATTATATATATATATATATTATACAATACTAAGACTGCGAAAATTGATCGAGGTGTGTCCTGTCATGCGGGGTAGTGACCATATATTAGCAAATTAAAACTATGTGATTGTCCCAGCGACAAGTCCTCATCCCCAATGGTCCTGGAAAAATGGTGGGAACATGCAGGAACCACCTTATATTTGATGGAAAAACATTATAAGACCATGAGTTTCCGATTTGAATTTTCCCGTAAAACCAACCCCAATGAAACCTTAGTATGGATACTGTAGGTCCAGTGATAAGTGGGAGTTCCGTGCGGCAGGCGTTAGTCCAAGAGCTCCGACAGATCGAAGCCAAGGACTTTTTGGATTTTTTGGGGCCCCAGCCATGGACAAATTCAATTGGTGATTCCTGGATATAAATAAACGGATTTCATCCATTCACAAGCTAATCCCATCCCCCTAATATTAAACACCCCCTAAATGGTCCCAATTACGTGGAAATCCCCTACTAAACCGGGGACAGGATGATATTTTGGTGTAAGATCCAGGATAGTTCGCAGAGACCTGGAGTACCACAGATTTCTTGGTATATTTTTGGTATTAACCAGCCCATGATTGGGGTACCCCTTTTTTGAGCCATACTGGAAATGTATGGTGATTTAAGGGAATATGCTTCACGGATACGTTGATATATATATAATTATATATTATAATAAAGCAAATTTATCATTATAACTAGTGTATTTTAATGGATGCATTGGATACAATAAAAAAATAATTGTTTTTCATGGATATCAAGAGAGATAGATATTAATGGATGTACGGATGAATATAAAACATGTTGTAACAATATGGATGTAAATAGATATAACAATTCGTGTACTCGTAAAGATGAATATAACCATGCAATGGATATAACAATACAACAGGATGCAGTCCTAGCATCAGTATTCACGAAAGCTAGCGTCAGCTAGCTGGAGTCTTCTTGCTTTAGCAAGTATTCCGGGGGCTGCTCAAGGACATCACGTGATTTTTCACGCGAAAGGCCCCCCCCCAACCCCACCACCACCACCACCATCACCATCACCATCACCATCAACACCACCACCACCACCACCAGCAGCAGCATCATCATCATCATCATCATCATCATTTCCTCATCCTTATCATCCTCCTCCTCATCATCATCCCGATCATCTGCCGCATCCGCTTCATCATCATCGTCATCATCATCATCATCACCACCATCATCATCATCACCATCATCATCAACATCATCATCACCATCATCATCATCATCATCATGAGCATCATCGTCACCATCATCACCATCATCATCGTCGTCGTCATCATCATCATCATCGTCATCATCACCATCATCACCATCATCATCATCATCATCGTCATTGTCAGTGTCATTGTCTTCGCCATTGTCATCGTCATCGTCATTGTCATCGTCACCGTCATTGTCCTTTTCAGCCGTCATCATCATCATCATCATCATCATCGTCATCATCATCATCACCACCATCATCATCATCATCATCATCACCATCATCACCATCCTCATCATCATCGTCATCATCGGCATCAGGTTCGATCCCCCCTGGTCCCCCCCGAGCCTTCCCGAGAGGAGATTTCCGGCTGGTAGAGGGTCAGCATCCTCACTTAGGGTTTGATGCGGAAACGCCACCGACATTTCCCTGCTGACACTGAAGCTACGTCTTCCCTTCCTTCTTTCTCCTACCCCGCTAGCTTTCGTCATCCACCCCCAGCCTCAAGTTTTGAATGGGATGTTGTTCTTCTCTCATTAAGATGGGAGCTGATGTGGCGAAACCCAAACGCAAAGCTGCAAAACCTGGCAACATCTCAGAGAGATTAGCGAAAAGTCGCTGCCCAGGACATCAAAAAGCAGCTGCACGTCAACGATGCGCTGGCGAAGCAGTACACGCAGCATTTGAATCAGTTTGAGGCGATGGAAGATGAGTTGAGTCACTGGGGACCCCAAGCCGCCCAAGCTGTTGGTTTCCCCTTTAAGGGCTCATCCATGAGCACTTGGTCGTGAAGGGATGTAAATTTTCATTATGTATACCTATAGGATCCCAGATAGATAGTTGAAAATTAAACACACATTTTTTCTGCAGGATGTTGCTGGCAATGGAAAACCTAAACAGATGGGTTCTATTGCCAAGTTCCATTACCAGAAGGTAATGAGGATGTACTGTAAACCATCAACCATATATGGAGATTCAACTGATTTAACACAAAACATGTTCGACTACATCAGATTACACATATTTATTCCGAATATTTCCGAATTATTTATAATAGTCTACAATATTCTACAATATTCTACACATATGTATATATAGACATACCACACAGAATCATATGGTCACGTGTTATATATATATTTATATATATACGTATATTTACAGTAGTTGTATGTATAGTTATATATTATATTATATTATGTTATGTTATGTTATGTTATGTTATATTATATTATATTATATTATGTGTTTTTATTACTATTATTATTAAATTATGTTTTTTATTATATTATATTATATTATTATGTTATACTATATTATATTATATTGTATTGTATTATTTTATATTACAGTATATTATATTGCATATTATATTATATATTGTTATATATTTTATTATATTATATTATATTATATTTTATTATATTATATTATATTATATATATTATATTGTATTATATATATTATTATATTGTATTATGTTGTATTATATTGTATTATATTATATTATATTATATTATATTATTGTATTATATATATATTATTATATTGTATTATATATTTTCATTACATTATATTCTATTATATTGTATCATATTATATTATATTGTATTGTATTATATTATATTATATTATATTATATATACATGAATGAATTTCTATATTTTTCACACCAGCTCTAGGCCAAAGAGCCTGTGCCCTGCGGTTTGTTGTACGACACACCCTTCTACGAAGCCTGCAGCTTTGGCACCTTCGACGAGGACGTTATTCCATATGGCATGGTTTATTCCATCTATAATTTGATAGATATAACTAGCAAAAGTTTGTAACTGTAACTATTATGAATCCATGAAATAGGTTGTTTCATCAAAAAAGTCCATCCAGAAATTAGGGATACCCCCATTTTAGGAAACCCCAATATCCCCTCTTGAGAATTTCCTTAAAGGATGGTTAATGGTTGGTCCATTTGTGTTTGGGGCTATCTAGACTATTCTATTGGGAAACAATGTCACAGCTACTAAGGGATTTTATGTTCCAAGATCATTGACAATTTTTTTTACGCTGTTGGGAGGGATTTTAGTCCAGTTGGATATACTTGCCTATCATTTCACATATAATTTCAACAAAACGTTGGATTTTGATCAACAAAGAATTGAGATTTGATGAAACATACCCTCTGGTAATTTAACATAGCTATTGAAAATGACCCAGTCGAAATAGTGGAATTACCTTAATAAAAAATGGTGGATCTTTCCATAGTTATGTAAACGTTTACCAGAGGGTAATTGAGACTTGACATGATCTGTGAGCAGAGATTAACACGGAGATTTGACCATCAAACCATGATTTTCGTTACCGAAGAGTCTGTTTTTTTATGGATATGTCCCATTAACATCTTTGTGTACATTAATGGATATGCAATGGTCAACAAATAATGGAGTTTCCCATTCACATCTTTATTTGATATGCCCCATTGCCATGTTTGATTATCCCGAAGAAGAATTGTCCTGTTCTTGCAAATTACAGTTTCTTGCCAAGCAACGCAAACGTCAGGAGGATGCTGAGTGGGCTAACTCCTACGTTCGAATCTTGTCGGGTGCGCCGGGTCTACATGGGTTCGCATCGGTCCGCTCGTGATATGTGCTTTGGTTTCAGTGCCTTTGGCAGTTTTAGCTAAAATTTCACTGAGTCTGGATGTGCTTTTGTATCAGATTCTGGACTTGGTGTAGGTGGTTCAAGACTTGATGAAGACCAGCAAAGCTGAAATATGTGATTTTTTCTGCCCTCGTTGAAGATGTTTGGAGGATAACGTACGGGCTTGTCTCATGTCTCAGAACCCAATTTCATATCATGGTTTGTCATGGTTTATCATGGTTTATCAATGTTCATCATCCGTTTCTCCATGGCGGAAATGGTGCATCTACCATAGCTTGAGACAAAGCCAGTCGTGGAAGGCTGAGATTTGACCCCATCGACGTCAGGTCTTTATGGTTTTCTGCGACCCTATGACGACATCCAAACGTCCCTTGCCGGCGCGTGAAATCCTTTTTTGCCAAAAGCAAATGCACTTATTGAGTCAAAGTGGTAGGACGGTGTTTGGCTGATTTTGGTATTGCCAGGTGGAGAATCCACAGGCAAGTTTAGATCATATTCAATTATAATGTTGGTAAAACAATAATAAACCATCCATTTGGGAATGGTTTATACCACCTATAAAAATGGTGATTTGGGGGATTGTTTATTATTGTTTTACCCACATTATTCAGTATTCCATAGACACGGTTCTTTGCAATTGCAGAACTATGAGCACCCAGATGTTGAAGGAATAGGGGTTCCCAGGTCAGGCGCGCGTGGCGTTTTTTTTGCAAGGTTGAGTTTGCCCGTGAGCTTGAACACCAAGCTCAAGAACAGCAAGGCCTTTTGGGTACAGTGATACAGTGCCAATTTTCAGCATCATCCTGATGGTTCACCTCAGCTCGAAGACTTGGACGCTCCGCAAGGGCCAATTTCTTCGAAATTATTGGAAGGAACACATTTACAAGGTGCCCTGACATGTGGGGGGGAACTGTTCCAGACCAGACCTTGAATTTGAATGGATTTGAAGGAATGCCAAAGCCTGGAAGTCATGTTTTGGAAATCTTGTTGGATCTGCTGATTTGCTCCATGGTGTTGGGTCAAGGAGATGGACGATGCCCTGCAGAGCCTTCCAATGCTTGTGATTCTCAACCTGGCTGCAGAAGAGGCTTCCGAGCATTTTCAAGTAATCCTCCAGCAGCTCCAGCATACATCAGCTATCACTAGCTACTCCTGAGCTGGAGCATTATGAGCATTTGCAAGTGAGCACTCTGCACACTTTGACGCTGTGGGAAGGACAAGGACATCTTAGATCCAGAGTTTCTGCCTGCCGCAGCTAGAGTAGTCAAGGTGCCAGGGGGAATGCAATTGGTCAAAATATGTCAAAATTGAAGGCCCTCTTGTGACACTTGTGACCCCCAGATTTTTGATGGCTTTTGACACTTTTACAGTGCAGCACTATTGAATTGATCCCTAAAATCTGGAGAAGAAATGGCTGTTCTGCAGTGTCGTTGGCATTTTTTCGTGAAGCAACGACTACAGTTGCTGGGCTGCTCTCTCAAACCTCCTCAACTATAAGGCCACATGCCACATGACCAACTAACACAGGGTGGGGTCAAAATGGTCAACAAACATACCCTAAAGACAGATGCCAAGGTCTGCAACCCCTAACTATATTGACCTGTGATTTCTTGATGAGGAATGCACTTCTCTATTCGATTTGTCCCCGGATCATCACGAATTCTCGTGGTAGAAGTCACGTATTTTGGCACTTGTTTGATCTTTTTCGTTGGGCAACCAGTGTAGCAGCCTGTCACCCAAAATAGCCCTCGCACCATTCGTTCCCCTCCGCAACTAGGTGGACTTCAAAATCTCCAACAAGGATGATGCGGGCACCGCCAAGGGAGAGTTTCTCGGCAGTTTGATCGGCCAAGGTTGGAGGCGTTACCCGGCAGTCCCCCAAGAGGTTCTTATACTAGGCCTTCCCTAGTACTCGTATCATCACTTGTACATCCAGGCAACATATATCACACGTCACATAAACATTTCATAAACTCTATACCAGCTATAGTGGGCACCTGTTTTTGAAACAGATGGACCAGTTCAATTCTCAGTGATGATTGGATGAACCCAGGTTCGTGAGGTGGATGCTGGAGAATCGGTGTATGACCGTGGAGGACGGGAGGATAGAGCTGATAGCTGGGTGGACATTAAGTTTGAGTTGGCTTTGGGCACCTGTGCGACTCCATTCTCAGTAGTGCATGTACTCGTAGTTTTATTTATCATGTTTTAATATGTTTTATGAATTTTCATGGTCTTATGATACTTATAATGTATTTGATCAAGCTTGATTAATGAGGTAAACCAGGTAAACCCAATAACAAACCACCCCCAATTGAAGTCTATTACATTCTATTATTGGGTATACGGTATACCCCTACTGGTATGATGTAAAATGAACCTCATATAGTTGATTAATGGATATTAATGGGATGGTTTATTACTTGTATTAGGTTGACCACATTCACATGTCTCTACAATACAGAATGCACTGTTATGGCAGGCATAGCACAATGACTGCACTTCACCCAGACACACACAAGTCCCTGGTCTCCAAGACCGCACAGATCTGAGGGGTACAAGTTTGGACCATTTTGGACCCAGTAACTGGTAGCTGCTTAAGATTGTTCAGCCATTGTTCAGCCATTCTATGATTCTATGGTTCGCTACTTGCACCCATCAATCGTTGGAGTCGATCCTGGGGGTCAACCCAGCGCGAGGATCTCTTAGAGTTCAAGGGATTGGACGAGGAGCGGAATCGAAGCTGTGGATGTTGATATATGGAGGTTTCATGAGGTTTCTGAAAGTGAAGATACCCCAGAATCTTTGGGTTTCAAAAGAATGGTTTTTTCTGGATGATTTGGGGTAGCCCTGTTTTATGACATCCCACATGTTGGCTGATGGTTGTCCTCCAGGAGTCGCCAGACTATCGCCTCAGTAAGAAGCAAACCTCTGCGGATTCGCTGCTCTTCGAACAGGCCCAACTGGTGAATTCGCCACCAATCTGGGTCTTACAAAGAGCGAGCAAGTGGTTTGTGGATATAAGATGATATAAGTGCATTATAAGTGCCCAATCCAGCACTGAAGTTCATTTTCAGAGTAGACAGCTTCCTGATGTTTTTGTATGGTTGGATCAAGCGAGATTTAGCCATCTTTCAGGGTCGCTCCAGTCCAAAAAGAAGGGAAGGTCCCCTCCTAGGCGTCGTGCGTTTTTGAACACACAACGCCTTTAAAACCTGCATTTCGTGAATGTTTTAAAAATGCATCTTCCAAGAGGGGTCTCGGAAATAACTTTTTTAAACCTCATCGCGCATACATTGCTTTCAAAGCTTTGGACAGGTGTGAGACACAGTCGTTCTTTTCTTGAGATCGCCACTGCCAACTTCGGATGTACTGCCGTGCCGAGGTACTGCTATATGATAACTATGACATGAGCCGGAACAACGCAACAAGCAAAACCAAGGTGAAAGCCATGAAACAAAGCAACATTCCACTTGTGACACGAAGACATGAACATAAGCAACAAAGACGTATCGAAAATGTCTGAACCAAACGAAAGACATGAGATCATTTTATTTTCAAAACTATTCTAACAACGCACAAACGAATGAACAGCGTGTCAAGAACGCACATGCAGGAACGTTAATAAACAAGAACGTTATCATCCCCCCCAACCCCCCCCCCCGACACCCCACCCCCTACCCCACCCCACCCCACCCCCCCACCCCATCCCACCCCCCCGAACAAACCCTGGCATGCCAACACGCAAGTATAAACGCAACAGCGTCAAGAAACACAGCAAAACGCGCGGAAAATGCAACGACGCACACGAAAACAAGGAAGCACGTGAGATGACATGGATGCTTCGACAGTGACGCACACATGAAAAAATGACAACACTCCGCGACGCCCTCGCGGGGACCTTACCAAAAACAAGGTCAAAAAAAAGCCACCTTTGGGGGGAAGATGGGTCATTTTATCCAATTTTACCTTGTGTTTCTGTTCCGATTTTCTGTGGAAAATTGCTCAGTTAAAAGTTATAGATGATTTATGACGATGATTTACCTATTCAAGATTGACGATTTTCCAGTGCGCAAAGCACGAGTCATTACCAAAGGGTACCCCGACCGCGCCAGAACGTGGGCGATGGACTTGACGGTGGCTGGAGCCGGAAGATGAAGGACCCATCTGGGGAGCCAAATCAGGAGCTTAAAGTTTCCCAACCAAAAATCATGGCATTTACAGCCAAATTCATGGTGATTTTATGATATTTTATGGTGATGTTAATTGTGAAAATATGGCTTAAAATGATGGTAAACCAATTTATAAACCATCATCATATTTGTCCGAATATGGTGGATTATGATGGATTCACATCTGTAAAACGAACATGTCAATGGATAACTTTATGATCATGGGGACATCGGGACATGAAAAGATGTGTTTTTGGATGGGAGATCGTTCTTGTTAGCTCTCTTGGAGCAAAACAACGGAATGTTTCAAAGGTTCAAAAAGGTGGGAATCCCGTCCCCCCTAAGCCGTAAGCCCCTTTTTTGGATCCTCCACAATGGCCCGATGGGCCCAATACTAAACCACGGTTCCTGCGGTGTTTAATCATGGTGCAACATGGATCATCAAGAAAAAGATGCGGATTCACCCATGGAACATCAGGATAAAACCTAAGAAATGAAACAGGAAAACATAGCTAGTGAATGCTAGTGAAATGGATTCTTAGCCAACACTGGCAAGAACATCACCATCATAACCAACCAATATTTGGATAAACCACCAACATATGGTTGGTTTAATATTCCCCCAACCATTATTGAGGTTTAATAACCAACTTAACCAACCATAAACCAACCAACGGCTTCAGTAAAAATTCACATCCTACGAGCTGATCTGCTCGGCTCAACCGCAGGATTTTGGTGGCTCCAAGGGCAAGTTCATGAAGGTCTGGTACCTCAAGAAGACCCGGGAACACCCGAAAAACATGGCTATCTATCCACAATATCCACAGTCTACGGTAGATGTCATCCTACGAGTAGAATCCTGTATGATATCGTGAGCGGTTTGGATTCACGCAGATTTTTGTTTGGCTTTGCATCTTCACTATAGTATCTATAGTTTAGTTTCCCGCAGCCTTTGAAAAACATGGATTTTCTCAAACATCGCTCCGCAATCTTTTTATCCGTGGGCAGTGTGAGTCACCCAACTCGCCAGATTTCTCCGGATCAAAAGCGAAGTCGAAATCATGCCATCATGTTCAGAAGGGATCCAGGGCGGTTAATCATGGTTAATCCATAACCATATTGATCATATTGACGCCACTGCTATACTGTATGTATATATATATATTATATATATATAATATCTTTATATACAAGAAGTCTCAGCAGACTTTCATGGCTTCAGGAATTTGCCAGCGGTGCGCAGAAGTACCAGCGCGCAGAGATCAAGAACGCCTTGAAGAAGGATCATCTGCCGGTGACCTGCCATTTTGATACAACTTGAGCTCAGGATCTTGATGATGACAACTATCAATAGATATCAATAGTATCACACAAGATCCGTATACCAATCCTCCAATATCCTTTACCAATCCTTACCGGGCCATTTTGTTAGCTTGATGACAGTAATCAATCCATTTTATTGGATGATATTGGAGGATTTGGCATCCAGCCAACACTAAATGGAGGCCCAGTCGGTTTTTGTGTTCCCAGCGACGCGAGACAGGAGACCAAAGCTAACAAGAAGAAGGGCTCCTCTGCGTTCTACTGATGCGGGCTGATTTTCCTTCTGGGTGTGTCCCGAAAATGCCCGAAAAGCATCCCGAAACCAGCCCAGACCCATCGATGTCCGATATGTTCGAATTACAAGTCACCAAATCCGCAAAGATGTCAAGAGAAAGCAGCATTCGACGGATTTGTTTGACACGTTTGACACATCAGTGTCCTGTGAATTCTCCGCAGTATCCGGGATGGTATATGTCGCATATCCCATGACTTGATGACATGCATTTCTGATGGGGATATTGATGTACCCTCTGGTAAACTAACATAACTATGGAAATTCACCATTTTTCATGGGAAAACTCACTATAAATGTCACATTTTCAATAGCTATGTTAGTCATAACCAGAGGGTATCATCCAATGGGAATATGACCTGGGAAGTCTCTAAGCTATCGCTTCGTCGCCAGCCGCGAGTCGTAGAGGACAGTCTCAAGTCGCGGCAGAAAAGGATCAGATCTCGCAGGGTTTACACAGGTTTGTTGTTGAGACATGAAAAGTCTTGCATCCCAAAGTTCATACACCATCCCAAACATGCCACAGAAAGTGGATTAATTACGTAGTATATAGTATAATTACATCATTTGTTGGTCAGGTAATTTTTTTCGATGGAATCTGTCGCTTTTGATCATGGCGCCATCAGCTCCTAGGCTTCAGAATTGTAGACTTGGTGCATCTCAGTTGAGACCGTGATCACGTACTGCAGATACACTACATAGAACAAGTGAAGGTCGTTATGCAACATGCAGCAAGCATTCTGCTTCAAACATATCATAAATATTCATAGATCTGGCACAGAAAGTTGGCACAATCTGGACACCTTAAAATGGCGCTTGATTTGTGCCGAGCCCAACATTTCATAATGCGTTGGAGCTTCCATTGCTTTCTTGCTGCGGGTCCTTGCCCCAGTCACTGAACGACTGATCGGTGAATCATCACTTCTCCCATTAAAATTGCAATAAATTGGGAGTAACTCCTCCATTCAACCATGATAGGTTTTACATGGTTTTACATGAGGTCCATGTTGTGATCCTAGTGCCGTTCACTCTTTCCTTGTTTCTCCAGCGTCTCTGTTCCTAGTTTCTGCGTAGTGGATAGGTCATAGCAGATGTGATACAATTTGATGTATGTTGCCAGGTGCGATATGTGTTGGGCTGTGTGCCAAAGGCGGGTTTTTCAGTGCTGAAAAGCAGCGGTCGTTGTGTTTGCATCTTGCGCTGCAATGCATCCTGCGGATGATGATGAATCATGGCCATGGGATTTTTGCAGTACCTCATTTCATATAATATAGAAACCCGTGTGAATCCGCGTTCCTATGTCGCGCAGCAGCTTTGGTATTTACAAACATCGAATCAGCTTTGGTCAGTGTACTGGTGATCTGAAACACTATCATTACCCTCTGGTAATGACTAACATAGCTATTGAAAATGACCATTTATAGTGGATTTTCCCATTGAAAATGGTGATTTTCTATAGTTATGTTAGTCTACCAGAGGGTACCATTCATCTCATTACCCACATTTCCGGCCATCCTTGTCTCCTTCGAGATGTCTGGATGTTGATACTTTCACCAGAAATCGAGGGCCCTTCTGAGTTTCACCGGCTTCCCCTTCAGTCTTTCGCTTTCCAGACCTTTCCGAATGCAATCCGTGTACTGTGGTCAACACAAAGTCATAAACCAGCCATCTGGGAATGGTAACCATACCACCTATAAAAATGGTGATGACTGGGGGATGGTTTATTATTGTTTTAACCACGTTACTGTACAGGTAGATGAAAACATGATATTATATCAAATATGCCATCATCCGATATCATCCGAGTTCCCCATGCGTCAAAATCAGCAGCCACTTGCTTTAATCATCCGACCGTGCGCCCCAAGACACTGAATGCACTGCGAACGCGAACGTACTGCCCTGAGCCATCGGTCAATTCCCCTGCATCATGGGAGACCATCATTTTTCCATGTTAATGGAAGATATCATAAGACATAGACATAGATATCATATGGATTCATATGGACATAATCATAGTAGATTCCGGATCATTTACATGTTAAAGTTGTGATTTCTGATCCATAAGAAGATGGATATTCCCCCAACCATCGCCGCCCCCCCAGGTGCTGAAAATTGCTCTTCGCAAGGCGTGCCCAAAGGGTGCCTTCGGGGCGGCTTGGAAGATCTTGGAACTCCATTTGGGTGGCCGTGCTGTGTTGGAAAAAAACAGGGTACCCTCTGGTAAACTAACATAACTATGGAAAATCACCATGTTTAATGGGAACATCCACTATAAATGGCGATTTTCAATAGCTATTTTGACATAACCAGAGGGTAAACATCATCAACAAAAGATCACAAAAGTGGGGATTAATGGAGATATAATGGAGATCTATAATGAGGATACTATACTTCATGTCATATAGTTATTATAGTTGATACAAGATTATTTCTTCAGAACTTCTCAAAAAAGATCGAATAGTAGACTCCACCAATCAATGGATATCTAATGGGGATATGATGGGATGTGACCAACAGTCGGATTTGCGCATGTCAAAAAACGGCAGGTTCACAGCCACTTGATGTCCGTTCTAATGGAGGATACTGTTTTCAAAAACCGTGGATTTTAGGGTACATTACCCTCTGGTAAACTAACATAACTGTGGAAAATCACAATGTTTAATGGGAAACTCCATTACACATGGTCATTTTCAATAGCTATGTTAAATTACCAGAGGGTAGGGTACAGTAGGGTACCAGATCGTCAGACCCCATTTCTCGCCAAACTCCGCAGTCTTTGGTCCAAGGATCGTTCTTTGTTCCAATCAAATCGGTTTTATTTTCCAATCGCCCCAGATTCGCTGGGCACGGCCGTCCTTTCAGCAGCTGGGAGGGCCTAAGCCTAAGCCGGACAGATTGTGATGCTACTTTTCAACAGCTTATAGATGCTTATTGCCTAAGTACAACACTTTGAACAGTGAAAGTAGCCAGCTATGTTTGGCACGTGATGTGCGCCAGTTTCAGCATTTGAACCTGCTTGAACCCTCAAACCTTTCTGATTGAAGTGACATTTGTCGAATCGGTCGAATTCCGGGTGGATCTCTAGTAGAAAAGAAGTAGCTTGTTCCCCACATTCCACAGCTTTCCACAGCTTTCCACGATCACCAGAGCAAGCAAACGTTGAAGGTTTGTGATGGTTGAAAGACATGGTCTTTTGAAGGATGTCGAGGCCAGCCCGAACCTTAGCTGAGGGATGCTGAGGGTTTCAATCCATCGGCATCTAACTTTGATCAGCCAAACAAATACCCTATAGTTATTTAACATAGCCATGGAAAATGGCCCATAGAAATAGATGGTTTACCTATTAAAAATTGTGATTTTCCATGGCTATGTTAAATAACCAGATGGTAATTGGGAATCACGGAACAACGAACTAAATGAGCCATCAAGTCTGTGGCAATAGTGGACAATCTGCACCGACATGGTGGATTCTGGAGTTTTTGTGTATCCAAAGGGTGAAAAACACGCTGTGATGATCCTTGCGCACAGCTTGAAAGAGCCGAAGGGCGTGTAAATATGGTCATCAGATGTCATCAGTGACTCCCCCCCTCAAAAAAAGGTGGGGCATGCAAATCATATCAAATCATCATCGTCCAGATGATTCCTTGGTTCCCTAGGTGAAGAGAGGTCGGTGAGGGCCTCCAGACCCTGGACATTGGCCTCCAGATACTTGGCAGGTGGACCATGGTGAACCCCAATGAGTCCAACGTGACACAAAGACAGGGCTGCGAAAAGCACCATCGCTGAGTTTGGTGGTTTCACTATTAAGTTAATGTTTCTCTACTGTATATTTCGTAAAAATATTTTGGATGATTGATGAACATTATTAGATGATTGATCATGATTGATGTTGATTACTACATGGTTGATCATGATTATTGATGATTGATGAACATTATTGAACATTATTGATGATTGATCATGATTCATTCAATCATTATCATTCAACATTATTAATCATTCAACTATAGGCAATCAACTATAGGCAACTATTAGCTTACAATCAATCATGTACTGTGGAGGTGCAGCTGCACTGGTGACGCTGCTGGCGTTGGGTCTTTTGGGCTTAAGGACAGGTGATGGGCGTCAGCAAAACAGGCTGTGTTTCGACACCAAAAAAACAGGGGGAACGATGAAGGGGCCGCAATGAACAATGAACATTCTCATGGTTTTGGTGGGGAATTTCGACCTACTTGTAAAGTGGGATACTGAAATCGAAGCATAACGTGGTAGGCTGGTAGACTGTCAACGAGTATCGCCCATTGGCACGACTCAAACCCAGGGGTTTATCAAACTCGTTAAACTTGCCCGAAGTGAGGATGTACAATCCAAGTTTGCCAACAAATTGACCCAAAATACCAAACGATTATCACATTGGCAAATTAGATCAAAATTGGTTAAGAAGAGCCAACTCCTCTCCAGGACGCAAAGTTCTCCTAGGCCAGCTTCGCAGGTTTGGGTCACTTCAGCTGACTTGGAGCCTGGCCCATGCTCATGTTGTGGGAAAGTTTTGTTTTTTCATGGGTTTTGCTGAACCACTAATGGGAAAACCCTCTAAATACAGAGGTTTGGACTCATTTTCCCCCTATTCTTGATGATTTTTGGCCAACCCCATGCAGTGTAAGAAGCCAGGGTGAAACTGAGAGATGACTATTTGTAGATCTGTCTACTGAGTCTTCTAGTGAACATGGGGTTTGTTCGGTTTGTTCCCATTCCATCCCATTCCCATGTTCAGTTTCTTGTCCAAAAGAAATCTCAAACTGCAGAGCGAATCTCCACCCTCGGGGTTGACCAAATCTTGAACCAGGCAAGGTGCCAGTTCATTTTTTTGCCAGAAATCTGATGATCAAGACACGCTCCCAAACACCACAATTGTATACAATTGTCTTGACTTTGCAGGTTCATTTAAGTTTGCAATATTTCGTATCCATTCTTGAGCCACATCCATCAACACCCCTCGAAAAATCATTCAAACTCCCATTTGAATATCCATAAACATATCCCTAAGAACAGCCACACAAATAATATTCATAGATATCTCTATATACACATATCCATATATAAACATATCCATTAACATAGATTCGATCCATGAACTATAGATCAATGAATTCAATATCCAGGAGGATGGTTGAGGTACCCTCTGGTAAACGTTTACATAACTATGGAAAGATCCACCATTTTTGATT